CTCACGCTCCGATAGACATTTCCCAATCCCCCACCCGTCCCTCCACCCTGCTCCGTAATTCACACCCAATTGGGCATTGCAGTGCCAATAGTCATACGCTGCATTCATTCTTCGTCTCATGCCGTCGTGTTCATTGCCATCAACGCCAGCCACCGTCCCTGTCGTTACATTGGCCGATTCCTTTATGCTTGTCAACCTCCTAAAGTTACTTCGTGCCTGGTCTAGAAAGGAGCAATGGTAGCAAGAAAAGGCGGCCAATTCCAATTGCCGGCCATGTAATTCTAATTGGCAGACATGCATTGAGCTGTTGGCAGTCGATTCTAATTGAACCTGCTCTTGGCAGCCAATTCCAACTGGACCTGCTCTTGGCAACCGATTCCAATTCAACCTGCTCATGGAAGCCAATTCCAACTGGACCTGCTCTTGGCAGCCGATTCCAATTGAACCTGCTCTTGGCAGCCAATTCCAACTGAACTTGCTCTTGGCAGCCGATTCTAATTGATCCTGCTCTTGGCAGCCAATTCCAACTAGACCTGCTCTTGGCAGCCAATTCCAATTGAACCTCATCTTGGCAGCCAATTCCAACTAGACCTGCTCTTGGCAGCCGATTCCAATTGAACCTGCTCTTGGCAGCCAATTCCAACTGGACCTGCTCTTGGCAGCCAATTCCAATTGAACCTGCTCTTGGCAGCCAATTCCAATTGAACCTGCTCTTGGCAGCTAATTCCAACTAGACCTGCTCTTGGCAGCCGATTCCAATTGAACCTGCTCTTGGCAGCCAATTCCAACTGGACCCGCTCTTGGCAGCCGATTCCAATTGAACCTACTCTTGGCAGCCAATTCCAACTGGATCTGCTCTCGGAAGTCGATTCCAATTGAACCTGCTTTGAGTATTATCAACGTTGGCATCAATTTCAAATGTTCCAAATGTCGCCGATGTGCCGACACCACCGACATTTGCTTATGTCCCCTGGCCCCTGAGCTTGCGCCGCTTGCTGTAGCGTCGCTTGCAACATCCCACGTTACCCTCATGACATCGACTTGCTTGCAAATGACCCCGCATTTGCCCCCATTTCTCAACCGACCCAGGCGATGGCGGAGGCGACTTCGAGGGAGAGAACAGAGGACTCAACAACACAGCGTATTGCTTGTACTTGACTACCGTCGACCTGGGCGATGAATTTTGCGATGTCACATACCCTGCACCCGAGTCGACCGAGCTCGAGTACCTCGACAAGTGGCTCGGATCGTGACCTGCCGATGCTATGTCGTAAGACAAGCTCTCATATCCAAACGTCCCATCATAGCATGCCGCTGCTCTAGCTCACAGTGACCCATCGTAACCTCCTCCGCTTCGACCTCCCGTTGTCACTGCTTGTGCCGTTGCAGGCAGCAACCGGAGCTACTTCAGCGTGTGTGCAAAAAACACACACCCAAACGGCAATAATTTTGCCCATCATTGCACGGTTGCATCTAGTATCGAGCCGGATGTAGCCAACACTCGAACACTTTGTGCGTGAACTTGCATGCATCGCCTCTCCGAAGCTTTCCTTCGAAAAGTCGAAGTATGCCGTCCCCGAGTAGTGGTACTGCCGCGGATCGCAATGCTTAGCTTTGTCGCCTGGGTGGACAAACGGGCACTCCGTTCAATCATAGATCCTCTCCCTCGTCCATCGCTTTACCTTGAATTCAAACATCCACAACTGGTCGACCCATATATGTCCACCACCGGCTATACCTCCTCGTCCTTGTTGTTCGACGGCAGAAACTTATTGAATACTGCATGAAAAAGTGTCGGTGATCCCAGTGACAATTCCCCGGCTTCCAGCGATGACGCCGACCTCAAGCTCAACCCTCGTAGGGTCGCTTCACCCGCTCCACTTCTCGCTTCCCGCTCCCCGCCTCAATCAACGATTCCTTATCCAACATCGAAAACCCTGAGAACTCACCCCTCGACACCGGCAAGCTCGACGGGCTCAAAAAGAAATTATTGAATGCGTGCAACTACGCGCTCTTCCTGCCCCTCAAGTTGTGGCTCCTCTGATACATCCCACCCAACGCGCTATCTACAAGCACCACATCGACAGGACCCCGACCCTCAGCTTTCCTGACTCACATTTCGAAGGTTACAAATTGTGTCATCCTTTCTTGTGTTCGGTGTGAGAAGCATGCAACATCTTCATTCGTTGCATGTCATGCATGCAGGTGGATGCTTTCCGTTTTAAGATTATTTTCCATTTCCATGAGATTAGACTAAAAACTTTTTCACCGGGATATGGTTTTCTACAAAGTCGAGTTATGGAAATCAATTGAAGTTCTAGTGGGAGGACTTGATTCTCATGTTGGCCGGACTACATTAGAATAGATTACATCGGGTATAATCATAGAATCGTATGGTATGACATCTGTTCAACCTTGGTCATCTCATTGAGCCTAGTATATAATCCGTCGACCTCCGCCAATTAGGAACCATACACACACATACACACACACACACACACACATGGAAGCATGTAGAGTTTTAGACACAGGTTGACATGTTATACAGGTGGTGGAGTAGACAAGAATTGACCTAATAAGGAACATGCGAAGCGATGTAACGTCCCTCTGTCTCAAGCTCCTATTTCAACCTAAAACACAACAAAGGAACACAATCACTCACCGTAGAAAACACACACACACACACACACAATAAATAAATAAATAAATAAATAAATAAAACAGAAACAAAAAAAATAAAAAACAAAAAACAAAAACAATGCAAATCGCCCCAAGAATGCCTCAACTTCACTTCGAAAGAAAAAACAGATCAACACAGGGCAGCCGAATTTTGATCCAGCACAGGATCACCTCCAATGCTTGGAGTTCGAGCTTGGAGTCTGGCTCACCTCGCCTTACATCACAATTTCATCTTTGAGTGGACTAGGTAAATCCGGTTTAGGATTTTAGGGATTAGAGGTTTTGTAACACTCGCAAATTGTGAAGCTCAGTTCACAATTGCTTTCATGCCTCCACTCATTCTCAACGCCACAATTCAAGATTACTGGTTGCTGCATACCTCAGAATGCAATAGCTTTCATCATTTCATATGAGCCAAGGGAAGCAGCACCCCTTCACAAATAACCGACACATTCTATACAACACAAAACAAAAAGATACAAACAAAGCCAAATACACAAAATGGACCAACAGCCCGAACAAAGCAACAAAATATATAAAACAAATGTGTCATACAAAACTTGAAAACCTAGAAATGAACAAAAAGTCCACATTCTCCATCAACACAAAAATCCCAACAACAACAACAATAACAACGACACAAAAAAAAGAAAAAAAGAAAAAAAAAACCTGTACTACCTTCCAAGAGACTGCAGGCAAAATCTTGCACAAAATATATTTCTAAATAAACCCACATGCATTCGAGGATGGCGAATACATGCGACAGCTCATGAACTTGAGCAGTAAATCCTGTCCTTGTATCCATAACAAGAGCCCATAGATTTGTACAAGAAGCCACACTGCTTATATACAGACCGTCTTCATTACTCTTTTCCACATGCTCCGTAAGCCGGGAATCAGCTGCATCGTAGTGATACCTGCACGTCGAAACAAATGTAGGAATAAAAGTTCAATAAATGGGTTTGTCCGAATCCAGGCTGCTTGCTGAAAGTAAACGCATGTCGTACAAATCGGAATAGCTGATCGACATCCAGGAGGACAAAGTCAAAATCGACGATACACACATGACCGGGGTCATGCCTAACTGAGCAACATCACACCACATCAATGACGAAAGCTCGCACCGCCTTACCTCTGCTTCATTTGGCCACCGAGCGTTGTAAACGTTGTAATCCATTGAGTTGCGGGCATTCCTAACCGGATCTTTTTCTTAGGTTGGTCATCCTCATCTTCTTCAACATCTGATTCGCCCTCTCTTCTGACCAACCTGTATGGAACACTAGAAACAAAAGGCTTTATTAATATGATGATCAAATGAAGAGTAGGTTCAAAAAAAGAATCCTCAGTGTAGGGACAGGAAAAACGAAGCAAAAGAAGGTCATAGAATGCACCTTTTCAACACTGTCTGTGTTTATGGGTCTCACAGTAGGATTAGGACCCAAGATGGAATCGAAGAGTAGAACGAGCTTGCCGTGGTTTGGCTCTTCATCGAACTTCATATTTGCGACCATCTCCAAAACGTCTGTTTAAAAACGGAACCGGGCAGAAACAACACAGCATTTCGGGAGAAGTTGCCATTTTCTTCTTCCACACCAGAAAACCTTTGTTGTTGCCCTACAAAACCAAATATATAGAGCACGTCCAAATGAAAAATAGTGAGAAGGAAGGAAGGAAGGAAAATATATATATATATATATATATATATATATATATATATATATCGCATTGATCACTTCTTCATTAGCTACTAGCTACAAAGTTGATCTGTACCTGATAACCTTGCCAAGGAAGACTACCCCGCATAAGAAATACCAAAGTATAAGCCAGTGATTCCAAGTCGTCCTTCCTAATCCCAGTCCTTCCCATATGTGCATGCACACTCGCATAGCGAACAATTCCACTGGATGTACGAAAATTACACAGAATCAAAATATAGCTCAAAAGCAAAACAGTCGCTCCCAACCGCCAAAATAGGAATGGCAACTACAGATCATGACAAGGGGGGGAGGAGGAAGAGCCTCACCGGAACACATCAGGCCTTTGGTCATATTCTACATGCTGACCGGTTGTACCATCCCTCCATCGAATAGCTGCATATATGGGAGAAAGACGTTAATCTTGGTGTGAAATTGACTTGTGCATGGACGTAGCGGTAATAAACTCATCCAATTCTCAGTCCAGATGCTCTTCATGTAACAGTTAACAGATGTTAAATAAAAAAAAAAAAAAAAAAAAAAAAAAAAACGAATGTAACGCCAAATTGGAGCAAAGGAGGTTTCTAATGTGTGAACAGAGAATGAATTGCAGCACAACGATACTGAAAACTCACCAAGCCCGAGATGTACATGAAAAAGCTTCTTCTCTTCAGGTGTATTGGGTTGTCCCAGGAGAAAGTTCTCGGGCTTCACGTCTCCATGTGCATACCTGCTCAATCAGAACGAGCTGCCCTAAATACTTGCGCTTGACCCCGAAGAGTTCTAGACATCCCGGAGACTTGGCCCGAGCATATCCATGACCTACAGTATGTGAACGAAGTTGAAATCGGATTAAAATAAATAATTAAATACATAAATAAATAAATAAATCTTGAAACAAGTTTGAAAAGAAGACGACTACATGAAAACTAAAGGTCTGCTTGGACTACAACAATTCAATAGGTGACTCACCATGACGTAGTAGTCGCCTTGTCGACCTTTGTAATATACATGACCAACACCATGGCTGCCACCAAGAGTGCTGGAGAAAGAACCCGCGCCAACCATGGAGGTTTAGGAGACAAGCCCTAATCACATTTGAATGATGAAAATAAGAAATGCAGAAAGGTAATTGCGACACTAGTAATCACATCCCAAGAGTGAAATCACAAAGGTACGAGCTCGAGATACACTTGTAAACCTGCCACTCGCAAGGAGGACCATGATTGCAGCCCTTACCACTCCGATGCTCGAACTTGCTCGAACTTCAACCCCGCAACCTGCACAAACGAGTTCAACGTGAGTACAAAAACTTATTACATTAATACCTACAAGACCTCGATGTAATGTGCAGAGCATCTCCCAAACATGTCGCTGCGACCAACGTTTAGAGCAAAACAAATTGTAAGAAATTGAATACCTCAACGGCCTGTGGACCAGCCCGCTCCGTCTCACCGATCCATCCCTGTCATTACGTTGGCCGATTCCTTTATGCAATGTACCAGGTTTAGGAACTGCAGTAGTGAATGAAAAACAAAAACCATGAAGAGGCTTTAAACAAACCCCATGTTCATTGAGCCAAAAAGTTGTCAAATCTTCTAATTCCATCCCAAAACAAATTCAATCCTAAACCAGGTTTCAACAATCCATGAAACAATTAAATTGGGAACCATGCACCACACAAACATGGAAGCATGTAGAGTTTTGGACAACGTTTTACATGTTATGCAGGTGGTGGAGTAGACAAGAGTTGACCTAATAAGGAACATGCGAAGCGATGTAACGTCCCTCTCCTTGAAGCTCCTACTTCAACCTCAAACACAACGAAGGAGCACAGTTACTCACTTTAGAAAACAAACAAAATAAACCAAAACAAACCAAAAAATAATAAAATAAAATAAAAAATCGATTCAAATCGCCCCAAGAATGCCTCAACTTCACTTCGAAAGAAAAACAGATCAACACAGAGCAGCCGAATTTTGATCCAGCACAGGTTCACCTCCAATGCGATTAGGTTTACGAGCTTGGAATCTGACTCTCCTCGCCTCGCCTCGCCTCGCCTCACATCACAACTTTGCCTTGCCCTCAATACGTTACTTGGTTACGGTTGTGAGTCTGAACACAATACTTTCACATTCGGGGATCTTCACTACACATACAACTAAGTACATTTCACTCCAATACTTTTTCACGTCAGTATTATAATTATTTAAAATAGAATTTGTCTAGCATCAAAAAACAAAAAAACCAAAGAGTAAATATAAATTTGGTCTATGGGGACAAAGAATTTAAGAAGTTCGAAGGAATTCAAGAAATTTCAATTCAGAATTTAGAAACTTGTGCCGAACTAGGACTCACGCCGGAACTGAGAGTCACGGGACTAGGGAGACTCGCGCCGGGATCGAGGCTCGCAGGACCGAAACTCGCACAGAGATTGGGACTCGCAGGACTGGGACTCTTACCGGGACTAGGACTTGCAGGACTGGGACTCTTACCGGGACTGGGACTCGTAGGACTGAGACTCGTAGGACTGAGACTCGTAGGACTGAGACTTGCGCTGGGAGTGGAATTCATGCCAAGCCTGGGACTCGTGGAACTTGGACTTGTGTCGAAACTGGGATCCACTCCGAGGTCCGCTAACTGGTGTCGCATCCAATCCACACTCCCATTGTGAGGGTGCGAGTCTCAGTTTCACTGCGAGTCATTGTCCCAGTTCCTTGCCCCGGTGTCTCACTCCCTCCCTCTCCCACCATGCATCATTCGAATTTTCTTCCCTTTCCTTCCGGTGTACAAGGTGAGATTGGGCACCGGGCACTGAATGTTTGTTGCTTGTTTGTCGTTGTGTGGAGGGGAGTGAGAGGGTCGGTCTGAGCACATGCACTGAGTGTTAGTTGCTTATTTGTCGTCGCTTGGACGTGGAGGAAGAAGGGGGGGGAGGAGGAGGGTTTAGGGTTTAGGGTGTAGGAAAGAATGAATCTGATGCTGTAAGGGCATTATTGCCACCATGGAACTCCTATGTGGCCTTTGTTTAATGCGTCCTCCATGGGAATAAAAACTGTCGATGAAGTTGTTGGTTGCAGTGCAAAGATGGAGTTTCTCTTCTGGCCACATTTGATAGTGGTAACTAAAGAGTAACCAGGTTTAGCCGCGGCTATGGTTCCATCAGTGCTTATCAAAGTGGGACAGGAAAATTTGTAAACTTGGTCGAACGAGTCTCAAGCTCCGTGAAAATGATGCTACTAAGCAGATTTCCACTAAACCTGGGACAACACAAAAAAGACAAGTCTTGAGCTCTGTGAAAATGATGCTAATAAGCAGATTCCCACTACACCTCGGACAATACAAAAAAGAAAATACTCAAACTGTACTGGAAAGCGAAAGGCAAGAACTGCTCCAAAATCGCAGGGCATGGCTTCTGGGACGGGAAGAGGCGAAGCGTCTGTTGGAAGTAGAACGAGAGAAGGCAGCCAAACTGGAACAGGAAAAAGGGGGGATATTGGTTGACTTGTATATTGGATTGAATCGAAAGAGTTACGGGCAAAAATATGAAGCTGAAAAGCTGTTGTAGTCACAAAATTGGAGAGTGACCCAGCAAGTATTGGTCGGTCACGGATGTCTGCCCCACCAGTTTCAACAATCGGTGAATTAGAGGTGAAGGTGAGGCAAGAGCAGCACCAATTGGGAGCAACCAGGTTGTCAGGATGTCCTGACATCCTGACAACCTGACAACCAGGGTTCAGGGGTTAGGGGTTAGGGTTTAGGGTTTAGGGTTTAGATTTAGGGTTTAGGGTTTAGGGTTACATGGATGTCCTAGAGGTTTTCCATCCTCAATATCTCTTAATATATCACAGCTTTTTCTGTTTTAAGATTTTGCCAAGGCTTAGAATCACCCAAAGACCTCTACAAACGTTTTTGTTTTTCAAAAAAATGTGTTTCGTTTTCTGTAATTTAGGGTTTGAAAACCCTAATTAGGGTCTCAACACCCTGATTACAGTTCTCACTTGCATATTTTTTCTTATCAAAGAACTGTGTATGAACTCTAAATGCGTACAGAACACTGCTTACTCAAAGCAATTCCCCATAGATAAATAGTTCACCTAGTCCAGGTCCAGAGAGTCCTTCGGGCTTCTCGCCCCTATGTCTTTGCCCGCTCTCCACCTGCTGCACCACCGGCTCTCCTTCCATCAGGATCATCGTTGACGGAGTCAATATCAGCTCCGTCTTCGACTTCTGCAAGACTCCCGCAGGCGACCAAGGTGCCTACCCCTGATGCATCCGTGAGTGCAGCCTTCGAGACTACGCCGCTTACTGCAGTGTCGCCTATACTCACATTACAGATTCTGTAAAATCAGACATCGACACGCTCGTTAATCACCCCACACTTATGCCCATTTCTCAACCAACCCCAACAACAGAGGGCTCAACGGCAGCGGGTACTGTGCAAGCCCCACCAACATCGACCTAGGCAATGAATTCTACAATACCGCACACCCTGCACTCCACTGGGCCGACCTAGAATGCTCCAACGATTGGCTCAGACCGTCACGTCCCCATGGTCCGTCGTAAGACAAGTCCTCGTACCTCGACGCTCGATCGTAGCTCCCCCGTGCACCGGCTCGCGGCAACCCTTTGTGATGCCTTGTGCTCCGATCTCTTGTCGTCGCTTCCTGTGCCTCCTTTGCCACCGCAGGCATCCACCGTAGCTGCTCCGACGTATGCACCAAAAACCACACTCGATGATGCTAATTCTGCCCATCCTTGCATGGCTGCGTCCAAGTACCGAGCCAAATGCAGCCAATACTCAAATACTTAAATGCACCCAAACTCGCACACATCGCCTCTCCGAGAGCTCCCTTTTTCGAAACTCCCTACACGCTGTCCCCGAGTCCTCGTACCGTCGCGGATTGCAACGCCTAGCTTTCTCGCCCGGGTGGGCAAATGGGCCTTCCGTCCAATCATGGCTCCTCCCTCTCATACATCGCCTCACCTAGAATTCCAACATCCGGAACTCATTGCACCCGTACATGTCTATCACTGCCCACGCCTCCTCGTCCTCGTTGTTCGATGACACAAAATTGTTGAACGACGCATCGGAAAATGTCTGTAATCCTAGCGACCAGGTCCCTCGGCCCCCAGCAGTGACGCCAATCCCAACTTCAACCCTCGCATGTCCATTCGACTTGCTCCCTTCCTGCCTCCTCATAAAAGCCCCCTTCACCGCTCCCCGCCTCGATCCGCGACTCCTCGTTTGCCATCGAAAACCCCGAAAACTCACCCTTGGACATCGACGACCTCGGCAGGCTCCAAAAGAAATTGTTGAGTGCGTGCAACTCTAAACCCTACCCCCAAAAGCTGTGGCTCCTCTGGTACACCCCACCCAACGCATCTTGAGGCGCTTGTGCATCGTGCATCGCCGCGGGTAAGAACGAGGTCCACCGCCGAGCAGCATGCTGCGCTTGCACATCCTGCGACATAGGCATGTAGTCACCCATCGATTCATACAACGATGGCGACCACCAACTCCCCCGTCCACCGATGCCAGTCTCCCCGCTCCGCCGCTCATAAACGGTGACTTTTTTCCTCCCCCCACGAAACCCTAAACCTGCTGACTCTCCAAAACTGCCATTGTCTCCCTCGCAAGCCCCTGCTCCTCTTCACTCCACGTCTTTCTCCACCCCCTTCCCTCGGTTCCATCTCATTGGCCACACTTCCGTCTCTCCCAACCTTGAACTACCCTCCGACCGCTCATTCTCCCCGTGCTTTGCAAGCAAACCTGAACGATGTGTTTGTGGAGACATGCGCCGCACTATCTTGCTCTTCTGTGAAGCCTAAGGCAGCCTTCGATCGGAAGACTAGGCGACCAGGTTTTGGACCAGCCCGTACAAGGGGAAAGAGTAATGAGAGTGGCATCCAAGGAACGGTGGCAGTATGGGATGGACGGCGCCCTTCATGTGCCTTTCTCCTGTGCGGGCGCATGTGCCCGGTTTAGGGTTTAGGGTTTAGGGTTTAGGGGTTCGGGTTAAGGGTTTAGGGGTTAGGGTTTAGGGTTTAGGGTTTAGGGGTTAGGGTTTAGGGTTTAGGGTTTAGGGTTACAAGGGTGTCCCCGGTTTTTGGGCATCATTATTTTTGGATTTTGACTTGACCTACGCCCCCATTTATTGTGTCTAGGATGTCAATGGTATAATTCTTTTCCTATACAAGTTTATAGTTTGGAAGATTTAGCTACTTTGACTTGGAGTTTAGGGTTTTGACTTTTGTCATACAAGGCTTTTTGAAATTTTTGAAAAGTCCATTGGATTTGTTTGAGGGTTGCCAATTATAAATATGTGCTTGAAGTTTTGAAAAGGCGCATATGTTTGTAGTTATTAAATGTTTGACTATTTTGACTTTTGAGTTGACTTTGCATATGAATAGGAATTTTGAAGTTTTGATTTGAGCTACCCCCCTATTTTAAGGGTCTAGGAATCTAGTGATGGTCTTAAAATCCTATACATGTTTTTCAATTTTGAGATATAAGGCGTTTGACTTGATACAATTTTCTGTTGACTTTTTGTATACTTTATTGTTTTGAATTTTTGATTTGACCTACCCCCCTATTTGTCATGCTTCTGATTCCAATGGTATGTTTAAAATTTTCAGCAAATTAATAGTTTAGGAGATATGAGATTTTCAAAATAGCAAAATTTACCTTTCATTAATATATGAAAAAAATATTATAAAAATATGAAATAAATACATAGAGACTTTTGGACATTATAATAATATATTGAATAATTTATATAAGTAAATGTTTTTTTTTTTTGGAAAATATCATATTTATATTATATGTATATATGATTTAACTTTATATTATATGTGTTCTAAGCCTATGCAATGGATTGAACATGATTCCGCCAATTTGCACCATATTCTTGAATGAAGTGGCGAGCTCCTCCAACACGATCTTCATACACTCCATCCTTTTTCCAATATGCACCACTATTGGTCTTCTTTAACATCAAGCCATCTACACGTCTATCTATGACCCTACTATGAACAAACCAATGTGCATTGTGAAGAAATTCAAAGATGAGAGGACGAATACTTGGATCATCTTGCTCCCAACCATCGTAGAGGAATGGCCCCACTTGTATCAATGCTTGTTGACTTGCTTGGGCACTTCTCCACTCTCTTGCTTGTTGAAGTTGTTGCTCCATATGCTTGCCACTCCATCCTATTGCTTGTCTAGCAAATGTTAAGGCACTCTTGACTCGAATAGAAGGTGCATATGAATTTCTTCCATGAATCTCTTTGGCCAACGTTGCTAAATGACTATGGCATATTTGAAAGAATCTTTGTAAAGATCCTTCTCGTATATCAAAATGACCTCCTATAGCTCTTTCTATGCCAGAATATTCAAAAAGGTCAAGATTACTACAAAGTTTACGTCCATCTATTATTTTCTCTGTACGAACACTAAGCCAGGTTTTAGGGTTTAGGGTTTAGGGTTACAAGGGTGTCCCCGATTTTTGGGCATCATTATTTTTGGATTTTGACTTGACCTACCCCCCCATTTATGGTGTCTAGGATGTCAATGGTATAATTCTTTTCCTATACAAGTTTATAGTTTGGAAGATTTAGCTACTTTGACTTGGAGTTTAGGGTTTTGACTTTTGTCATACAAGGTTTTTTGAAATTTTTGAAAAGTCCATTGGATTTGTTTGAGGGTTGCCAATTCTAAATATGGGCTTGAAGTTTTGAAAAGGTCCATATATTTGTAGGTATTAAGTGTTTGACTATTTTGACTTTTGAGTTGACTTTGCATATGAATAGGAATTTTGAAGTTTTGATTTGAGCTACCCCCCTATTTTAAGGGTCTAGGAATCTAGTGATGGTCTTGAAATCCTATACATGTTTTTCAATTTTGAGATATAAGGCGTTTGACTTGATACAATTTTCTGTTGACTTTTTGTATACTTTATTGTTTTGAATTTTTGATTTGACCTACCCCCCTATTTGTCATGCTTCTGATTCCAATGGTATGTTTAAAATTTTCAGCAAGTTTATAGTTTAGGAGATATGAGATTTTCAAAATAGCAAAATTTGCCTTTTATTAATATATGAAAAAAATATTATAAAAATATGAAATAAATACATAGAGACTTTTGGACATTATAATAATATATTGGATAATTTATATAGGTAAATGTCTTTTTTTTTTTGGAAATATCATATTTATACTATATGTACATATGATTTAACTTTATATTATATGTGTTCTAAGCCTATGCAATGGATTGAACATGATTCCGCCAATTTGCACCATATTCTTGAATGAAGTGGCGAGCTCCTCCAACACGATCTTCATACACTCCATCCTTTTTCCAATATGCACCACTATTGGTCTTCTTTAACATCAAGCCATCTACACGTCTATCTATGACCCTACTATGAACAAACCAATGTGCATTGTGAAGAAATTCAAAGATGAGAGGACGAATATTTGGATCATCTTGCTCCCAACCATCGTAGAGGAATTGCCCCACTTGTATCAATGCTTGTTGACTTGCTTGGGCACTTCTCCACTCTCTTGCTTGTTGAAGTTGTCGCTCCATATGCTTGCCACTCCATCCTATTGCTTGTCTAGCAAATGTTAAGGCACTCTTGACTCGAATAGAAGGTGCATATGAATTTCTTCCATGAATCTCTTTGGCCAACGTTGCTAAATGACTATGGCATATTTGAAAGAATCTTTGTAAAGATCCTTCTCGTATATCAAAATGACCTCCTATAGCTCTTTCTATGCCAGAATATTCAAAAAGGTCAAGATTACTACAAAGTTTACGTCCATCTATTATTTTCTCTGTACGAACACTAAGCCAGGTTTTAGGGTTTAGGGTTTAGGGTTACAAGGGTTACAAGGGTGTCCCCGATTTTTGGGCATCATTATTTTTGGATTTTGACTTGACCTTTATGGTGTCTAGGATGTCAATGGTATAATTCTTTTCCTATACAAGTTTATAGTTTGGAAGATTTAGCTACTTTGACTTGGAGTTTAGGGTTTTGACTTTTGTCATACAAGGTTTTTTGAAATTTTTGAAAAGTCCATTGGATTTGTTTGAGGGTTGCCAATTCTAAATATGGGCTTGAAGTTTTGAAAAGGTCCATATATTTGTAGGTATTAAGTGTTTGACTATTTTGACTTTTGAGTTGACTTTGCATATGAATAGGAATTTTGAAGTTTTGATTTGAGCTACCCCCCTATTTTAAGGGTCTAGGAATCTAGTGATGGTCTTGAAATCCTATACATGTTTTTCAATTTTGAGATATAAGGCGTTTGACTTGATACAATTTTCTGTTGACTTTTTGTATACTTTATTGTTTTGAATTTTTGATTTGACCTACCCCCCTATTTGTCATGCTTCTGATTCCAATGGTATGTTTAAAATTTTCAGCAAGTTTATAGTTTAGGAGATATGAGATTTTCAAAATAGCAAAATTTGCCTTTTATTAATATATGAAAAAAATATTATAAAAATATGAAATAAATACATAGAGACTTTTGGACATTATAATAATATATTGGATAATTTATATAGGTAAATGTCTTTTTTTTTTTGGAAAATATCATATTTATACTATATGTACATATGATTTAACTTTATATTATATGTGTTCTAAGCCTATGCAATGGATTGAACATGATTCCGCCAATTTGCACCATATTCTTGAATGAAGTGGCGAGCTCCTCCAACACGATCTTCATACACTCCATCCTTTTTCCATATGCACCACTATTGGTCTTCTTTAACATCAAGC